CACTCTTCAGCCCCAAATAATTTAAATCTGTTGAGGAAGGCAGTAACAGAGTTGGCAATGAGCAATTAAAGAAAGCATCACCTTCTCTTTGAAAGCTGGTGTTTCAATCTGTTTCCTCACATAGAAGAACAAACATCAACACATCTGCCCTTGAAAATGATAACATTTGAGGTAGAAAAAGAACTGTCTTGAACTCTAGCCTACATTTACATCAATCCCATCTCCTCAAGAAGTATGAGAAATTACAGAGGGCACTTCAAACCCTAAACCACTGGGTAATACAAATAGGATAGCTACAATTTAAAGTGCTATGTTATAGAGCAGTTTAGAATGAAGCAACAATTTATAAGGAATATATAAAAAAGAAACCAAGACAGAAGAAATAATTTCATCTTTGAGATGCTTTGACATTGTAAAGTCATTAATTACTTCACTAGTTACAGATGACAGCAAATCCTCTGGCAAAATTATGTCTTGCAGCTCTGTAATATTAATTTACTGATTTTGACACAAAGGAGAGTTAAAAAAAAGGCTGAAGACACAGAGGAACTGGGAAAGGGAGGAATGTCTAATATGAAAATTAAATACTAATTACATTAAGAATTTTACTGAACTCTGTTGGTCTCATATGCATGCATAGTAAGACAATTTGCAGGTAATGCAATAGTTCAGCTGAGTATCTGGAAAGCTGTGAGCTACTCCTCTACATGTGGTCAACTTCTGAGTAAAAACAAGTTCCTTGCCTTCTCTACTCTCTTACCAAAGACTTACTTCTCTCACTTCACTGTAACTCTTCAAAGAGGCACATAATTCCTTGATATTGTAAACATTTAAAAGACATACCAGTCACATAGCTGCATCCTGCAGTTAAAATCTCCCCTTGACTGAAGAAGGCAGATACCAATGGTAGAAGCCGCACTTTTACTGTTTCTTTAGACCCAAGGAAAGGGAAACAAGCAGCTTGATATGGTATATACCATCAACAGTACAGGTTATAAGGAAGAAGTTCATTCATAAAATGTCACTTTATGAGTGATGTGCTATCACTGCAATGGCAAAGTTGACAACATACACGCATTTATATTAGGAGGCACAGAGGGCAAGACCAGAGTAAACTCCATAACGGTCTCCTGCCTTGAGAGTTCAGTGGTGGAGTTGGCAAGGGACAAGGGAGAGTGCTGCGAGGCAGCTGTTATATGACCCAGGGGCTGTGGAAACCAGATGTCCATATGCACAGAGGGAGGAAGAGAGTGTGGAAGCACAGATTTTTGCGCATTTTACATTGCTAAAAAGCACCATATACAGTATCAGCACTTGACCATGACAACATGGCCAACAACAAACAGCTACATGCTGGACACCCCATTGCCAACCTTTGGTCTTCCCAGCCTAAAGGATTTTCCTGAGTTTATTGTGAACTTTATTCAGCAAAATGACCCAATCTAGAGAGTCCTGAAAACACCACAAAGACAAACTTATTTAAAACATCTACATTGACAGGTTCTGTTGCAACAAACTTTTAAGATAAAGCTTTAGGTCAGGCATTTTTTCCCTGTGAATCAAAATTTTTTGAAAATACTGTTCAATAGAAGTACAGTTTTTTACTTTATGACTTAACAGCATACACCAGTCACTGGAAAAACACAAACCCCAAAAGAACAGTTTGATAAAGAGAAACAATTTTAAATCTCCAGCTTTCATGTGGTTCTCTAGACAAGTGAGAAGCAAAGGTGAAACTTCAGGTTTCTTTCTCCTTGCGAGATGCTCTAGCAAGGCAAATGTAAAACTTTAATACAGTAAGTTGCTACCATTCTAAAAATAAACTAAGTTTGGCATGTTGCCATGCCACACTGACAGTATCACACTTTCAGAACTGAAACAAAGTTGATAAGCCTGCTAACTAATTACCGTTTATTAAGCTTGGACACATCTTCCCAAAAAGCCAAGTAAGCTTGTCAGCTCTACAAAACCACTGAAGACCTAATGACATTCCTTGCAAGAATGGTGCTTTGACAGAGTATGCTGGATAGATCTTCCTCAGGCAGTTTGGTAGGCACAAGGAAACACAAACATCTACCCTTCTGCTGATACTGCACTGATTCAGTAATACTGTTTTATGCAGCAAGATAGTGAAGGTGACAGCAGAAGACAAAGTAGCAATGATTCATGTGCTGTGGGCATTATGAGAAAGGTATTTTCAGAAATAATCCAAAAGGTGAAATTCACCTCTAGGCAAAGGGCCAGCACAAAGCAAAGAACTTTAAAACCAGCTCAAAGTGATTCTTAAGTAACTGATGGGCTCCATGCCAATCTTGTAGGTAAAGATGAATTCACCCTCAGACTAGGGAAGGAACATTTAAGAGAGCCAAATGCGAACACAAAAAAATCAGGTCAGCAGTATATGCAGCGAAACAAAGTAGTAACAGGTTGTAAAGAGAGTAGGTCAGGTCATACCGAAGGACAATAATGTAGGAGTCAGAGTATTTTGTTGCCTGGCAATTCAAGAGCCAACAAAGAATTTATATCAGAGTCAAAGGACTGGGCATAGCATTTCAAGGAGAGCCTTCTGTATAACTGAGTTGGATCACTTTTCTAAAGGGAGTTCCTCATGAGAGTAAAAATTGTAATACCAATTAATAAGGAACACTTCCACCTCAAGACGGCAAAACCAACTTTTTCAAATCAGGGATCTTAACTATCCAGAACTGGACAAACCTGCCAACGTTGAATGATTCTGTTCATTTGGAAAGCAGAAAAATGCCATTTCCCCTTTAAATTTTTTTTATGGTGCTGTGATAGAACTGCAACCCTTGGGACTGGCCTTGCACCTGGGCTCACTCACCATGCTTATCAGTCTTCCAAACTAGGTATCCTAGGGAGGGTCTTAAGCAGACCTTGTTACTTGAAAGGATGCAGATCTCTACTGTAGCATTAGCACAGCAAGACATAGCTCACCATGAAATGAACTTTCTTTCCAGGCAAAACAGCTTTTTGAAGAAAAAAAAAATCTATCACAATTGTAAGAGAATTTATTATGCTGAACCTTTTTCAGTAGCTTCCTAAGGACACAATTGTTTCTTTCCAATTGATCCATTAAGAAAACCAAGACAAATTACAACGAATTATCCACTTCAGTACTGTAGCAAAGCTCTGAAAGAAGTGTCTGCCTCCAGATTTTGGGGTCTGGATTTTATTACTTGCAAACTCAGAGTTCTCCCTTAAGTCAACCTAGCAAAATCTTTGGTGCTCAATGGATAGCAAAAAGCCTGTACTTTTTTTAGTTTCACAATATTACTAGGAAGAAGGTGCAAATATAAATACAATCACAATAATAATTTTGTTAATTTACACAAATTCCCAGAGAGACACCTGAGTATATGAAGCAGAACACTGAAATAACAAATACAGCATAAAATGTTGTAAGACTCATCTACTACATTGGAAAAAGACACAATTACATGATTAATAAGTTCTCTCTGTAAAAGTTAAACAAGTTGAAAGTTAAAATTACAACAAAATTACACAACCAATCCTTGTTAAGCTTGTAAAGTAAGCAATGGTATACCTTGTTCTAATAACCATGCCACGTCAGCCAGCCCTCCTCAAACTGTAGTGATATGCTGAACTGGGAAGAAGACATCCTGGACTTTGTATGTCAAGTCAACCTCTGGAAACAGCTCGCAATGGCTGGTAATGCAGCATGCATTTACTGTATTCTTTTTAGTCTGTAGAAATGCCAGTCTTAAAGCTTCCTTCCTAGAACAGACACTATTTGTGTTGAGAGAGATCTGCTTTATTAATCAGAGTTGTGCTGTCCAGTTGTGATTTTGTGATATTTGCTAATTGTGATTTTTGTAGTATTGGTGGCAATAGAGAAAATCAGGAGTCCCTGTGTATTACAGAATCCTATGAACTCACAGTCACAATCTCTACACACTTTTAGGTTGAGTAATCTTTTAAGCTGTGATAATGGCTTATTAAAACTATTCTTGTATTTCATACTGCAGACATGGACGGAAGACAGAACTTAAGATCATGACCATACAGCTTGTTAATGGATGAAATACACACAAAGTCTAAGTGTTCAAGGAGGCAATGTAAGGTTGCCCATTACATGCTGCTCTGGTCCATCTGGAGGACTGGTGCACTCACTTCACAACCCCTTTCCATGCAGGCACATTATCAGTCCTGTTGGCACGAAGTAGACTGGCACCTGGGACAGCCTCAAGAATTCCAATCTTAAACATGATGGGTTTTTTTTTAATAGCTAGTTTTACTTACAAAGCACCAGAAACATTTAGGATACATCTTGTGTCAATTTTTTGTCCAAAGTGAAGATTACATTAACATATTGTGATCACACATTCCCCTAATTTCACTTACCAGAATTACAGAAATATGGCCCAACTTGCACAAAAGCTCTGAGAACTATTCACACTGGAAAAACAACTGGAACCATAAATCCAACTGGAACCATATTACTGTTTATGGCAGGGTTAATAGACCTATGCTAGGACATTTAGAAGCTATCAATATCCTTCACTGCTTAAATCTCCAGAAACACAGCATTGATGGGAAATTCCACGGAAACTTCTTTTTATAGTACATCAAAGGGCAAAAAATAGCATTTTAAAAAACACTAATGGATTTTATTTGTGATTAAAAAAGCAACCTCTGCCAGAGGCATTTAAATAAGGATGATGAAGAAATTGAGATGAATACTTTGGTAAACCTCACTGCCAGCTTAATTTCTATAATCAAAAGTAATAAAGTGAACTAGGCATGTTGCTATACCAATTAGTTTTTTTTTACTCCATTAAATACGGATGAGAACTTTTCCTTACCCATGCCAGTAGCAACTTATTTTATGAATGGAAATTAAATTTTAATTTTTATTCTCTGTGAACATGCGTCATATGCCTGTGCTTTCTATCATACCTATACAAGACTTCAGACAAATGTGTAATGTGTTATGAAAGCATAATAATATACGTGCCTACCTTTTTCAGGAACCGTACTCCATAGGTAAATATATAAAGGTAAAATGTAAATCTCCACCTGCAAAAGGTACAAGAGATTAACTCTAGGATATCAGGTTTTTAAACTTTACAGTTCTACACATTATTTCTTACAGTACTGACAAACCACCACACCCTGGTCACATTAACAGAATTTGAAGCAAAATTTTGGTTTGTTTTTTGACAACTTTTGTTATCAAGCATTGTGTTCGCCTGCCTGCTTTTCCTGGCCTCCCATTAGTACTGGCTAACTTCATCTAAACATAATAGGGAAAAACAAATTCAAGGATAATTAAGTTATTAAAAGTGTCAGGAAAACTAGCAGGACAGTGGAGGACAGAGGAAAACCCACATGTCTACTGCCAGGAAGATCACTTGTTATTAGATACCATGACAATGATAATAAGAAATTTTATTAAGACTTCAACAGATGATGTCTGAATGCTGCACATCAAATATAGTCTTTAGTAATGAAAAGCATCATCCACAATGAGCTGGAATTTCGTTTAGCAGATTCCAGCACTTACTCTTGGTTTTAGAGAGTGCATCTGCATCAGATAGATATGATGGATACAGATATATCCACAATTTATGTCCACTTCCAAGAGTTCCCTTGATAAAGATGACTCTACATTGTCACATGAAATAATTGCTGGGCTTCTAATTTTTCTTTTCAGATATAAGCAAACTAGAAGCAACAGAAAATAACAAAGAAAGCAGCAGGAGATTTAATAGGAAAACATTCTCTCCTCCAGTAAAAGAAGATATACAGAGTATCTTCCTATCTTTTGTACTCCTTACTGGCTTAGGAAAGAAGAGTCGATGGAAGTATAAGGAAATAAAATCAAAACCTCATGCAGCCTAAATTCCCAGAGAAAAGCCTGGGTTTTTTTTCCCCAAGGGTTGGAGTGACTCCACAAACATGCTTGAAATAAACAGTGAGGTACTATTCAAAACATTCATAGCAGGATGAGATTTAGCTTCCTTAGTGAGGCAGTACTGCAGTGTGAATCATCTTCAATTACATATTTTACAGCACTTACAGATTTCTCTCCACTGACAAATCTATTAGCTTACACTTAATTGGCACTGAAGCATATTCAGACATTACTGGAGCACAGTTTCAAAACAGAAAATGTGCCCATGTTAGCGAAGGTTAATCCAAACCTTCCTATTCCAAGAAACTTTTACAAGTATAAAAAAAAAAAAAAAAAAAGTGTCAAACAAAAATAACTCTGACAATTTAAGCACGGGAGAGTGTAAGGACATTAGTGAATTTTAAAGTGGGATGCTTCAAAGTATCTTACGCCATAGTTTCCACAGCACTACAGATTACTTTATTCAATTGATACAATACACATACCAAACCCTTCAAGGGTTCAGTCACACTAGTAATGTGGCTCACAGCTTTAATGCTGGCAGTTTCCTCAAGATAATGCAAAAAGATAGCATTTGGTGGCAAAAGGTTAGTTGTGCTGGTAGAAAAAAAATCAGATGACACAGAAAAAACCAGCAAGGACAGCAATATGAAGGAAGGTTTTATTTGGGTAACAATTTTCTTGTTAATCTGGTCCTATGGCTACTAAATCTGCCATTTAACTTCAATGTTACATACCTCATCTAGTGAAAATTTGAAGACTGTCACTGAAAATAAAAATACTGGGAGGTAAAAACTGTCAAATCTAACCTCACTGCTGAGTACTCCCAGTGCCCATCTTTCACTAGTAAGTCTGAATATTGTTTTAAAAATCCCCTCAGTATCATCTTTATTTCACATTTCTCCAAGGTGTAACTGTCACCAACGTCCAGTGGTCGCTCACAGAGGCCAACAGCTTTGGGCAGGCACGTACCCATCAGGGTAGAAATTCAGAAACACCGATTTCTCAGTCCTTCCAAAGCACTGCCACTGCTGTAGATCTGTGCTAACACCTAGAGTTCTCCCTGTAGGAGAATTCTAGGAGCTTCAGAGAAACCTCAGAGCCAAGAGCCACTAGGTACTATTTGGGTCTGTCAATGACAATCACCTCACTCTAACTGTTCAAACGCTACAAAGGTGACACTGCATACAACCGTATGTTAATATATGCTATGGGTAATCTTTGCTCTTTATCCCTAACCTGCCGAACAAGTATACTTGAATTCAGCACCAGAAGATAAAGGCTCAGGACTGGGTGACAGACAAAGCTGGCCAAAGTACTAACTACTTTCAAAAATAAGTCAGATTGGTGGTAGAAAAAGTTAATTCCTGCTAAGCAACATTCACAAAAGCCATTCAACAAACTTTTGGCTTTTGGTTTGATCAAACTGAATAAAGAAAAATCCAGAAAAAAATAAACTCAGAACTGGCCCCCAATATGTTTATCATAATTAATCAGCTAAGTGTGGTGGTAGCAGAGCTAGAAAGAACTTTTCATTATTCTGTACAAGGCAGCTAGATGACTTTTCTGTGGGCTTCAAAGGGAAATTCTGCTGGCTCAATACCCCAACTGGAGTCTCAATCCCATACGAAGAAGTCCAAGGAGCTTCCCACATTGTTTTACCACTACTTGTAGATGGTTTATTGCTGCAATTCACAGCAAAACTTTCACTATTCCAGGTTATAGCGGAACATAAGGTTTGGAAGGTTTTACATTATTAAAGTATTTATCATTACATGGCAAATTATTATAGCTACTTAGCCTGTTATACCAGATATATTCAACATTTTAATAAATGTTGCACATAAACTGCTAACACCAATAACCTTAACAGCTGAAGATACTTAATTAGTAACTGTCTTTTTCAATAAAGTTAAAGAAGACAAAGATGTAACTAGATGCCTGTTTCCTAAAAATTAACATATATTGAGATCTATAACATCTCAATTAAACTAAATCAATAGTTAAGGACATTAGCAGAATGAGTAACATTTATGAGGAATTACAGTCAGAAGAAATGTACATAGAACAAATTATTAAAATTAAGGATGCTGTTTCCCAGAGCTAGAAAGAACTTTTCATTATTCTGTACAAGGCAGCTAGATGACTTTTCTGTGGGCTTCAAAGGGAAATTCTGCTGGCTCAATACCCCAACTGGAGTCTCAATCCCATACGAAGAAGTCCAAGGAGCTTCCCACATTGTTTTACCACTACTTGTAGATGGTTTATTGCTGCAATTCACAGCAAAACTTTCACTATTCCAGGTTATAGCGGAACATAAGGTTTGGAAGGTTTTACATTATTAAAGTATTTATCATTACATGGCAAATTATTATAGCTACTTAGCCTGTTATACCAGATATATTCAACATTTTAATAAATGTTGCACATAAACTGCTAACACCAATAACCTTAACAGCTGAAGATACTTAATTAGTAACTGTCTTTTTCAATAAAGTTAAAGAAGACAAAGATGTAACTAGATGCCTGTTTCCTAAAAATTAACATATATTGAGATCTATAACATCTCAATTAAACTAAATCAATAGTTAAGGACATTAGCAGAATGAGTAACATTTATGAGGAATTACAGTCAGAAGAAATGTACATAGAACAAATTATTAAAATTAAGGATGCTGTTTCCATCCTCTTCAGCTGTACAGAAAAAAAAAAAAAAAAAAAAAAGGCCAGGAGCCTATCTGTAGCTGTCAGCAATGTGCTACGAGAAATGTAATGGCAGACACACCAGCAATCCTTTGCACAAGTTCACACATAGATCACTACACCTCCGAACACACCAGGAACTGAATTAGTACTCAGTTCTCTGAAGCTGTTTTATGTAGCAGAAAATACTCCATGACTTTGGAATAAAGATTAGGGACAGGAACTAAGCTGTGAAGCTGTATTATTCACTCCAAAAGATACAGACAAGGCCAGAAGGTATTAGATAAATGTTTCATGCAATGTAGATGTTGACTAGCAAGATTTGTCCAAAGGTGAACTCTCAATTAAATTCTCTTGCAATAAGTACTCTAATGAAATCCATCACACACCATCTACAGTATATACCTCTTTAATCCCTCTATTTGGGTCTCACTGCAGCTCACTGATTAAGAGATGTAAGTAGAAGGAAACAGTTATTAGAAATCACGGCCACTGAGGGTACAGCCCGGTGTCCAAACCACCTTAGTACTGTGGGACTTAGGCATACAGTTCTTTCTGTCTGCATAGGATATCATAGAAGGGAAGGACATCTTTCTTAAGCATGAGGTTATCAAGTCTTATTCCCAACTGAATCCACAAAGTGGTAGCTGATTAAGTGAGGTCTTCAATTTGCCATAGGTAATAATCTCAACTCTCATGGTTGGAAAAACCCCTTAGCCTAAACAGAGTCTGAATAGTCACAGACCACAGGGAAGGGAAGATGCCTGGGCAGTGGCATAAACCCTCTCTAGTACCCTTTCTCCTATCCCACTCGAAGTCCTTCTTAAGCATCAGTGGCTGAACATCCCCAGGTCGCCAGGGACAACTGCCATTTGGGTGACAGCTGGTTGCCTGCAACAGGAAAAGTAGCAAACTCATCTACAGTAGAAGTAGCAGAGCCTAACAGATTAGGAAAAGCAAGGTAACATCTGTACTAAGATCTTTTGTTCCCCTTTTCCCCCCAGCAATAGTGGATGCCCTAGTAAAGCAACACAATGGAAGCCCATTATAGGTGACCTCCACATCAATTCACATTTAACTGTAAGATGACAACAGCTAACAGAACTTGGTTTTGTGACAATTTGCTCTGCCTCTCAGACCTGAAACACTTCTCCAGTTGGCTGTACAGAGACACAAAATTTCAGTGATCCACAAAAGCACAAAGTGTGCTGCTTGAAAAACTTCTTAGGTTAATTTAAATCCAGCAAACCCAGATGAAAGGAACAAGTGTTCTGGAAGACTTGATCTGTCTGTTTGCAAAAGGGTTTATGAGATTCACTTTAGTCCTGCACTAATATGCCTACAAGACTTCCAGACTGAACCAGGCTTACGTCTGGTCTGCTCAAGCTCAGAATGAGGGAGATCAAATCTGTTTACATATGGCCCTGGCAAATCCTTCAGGGTGTGTCAGTGCTTATCA